CAGACAGAGAGACAGACAGAGAGGGAGGAGGAAGGGGAAGGGGGGTGGGGAGAGAGAGAGAGAGAGAGAGAGATGAGGATTTTGGACAATATCATTATGACCACACCACACACCAGCTCGTAGAGTGAGATTGGACAGAATCAAGTCCTGGCATCTCACAGAGGCAAAGGTGGGACAAATTCTGCAATTATCTGCTCCCCAGTACCAGGGCTCTACTATTGCCTACACAGACACACACACACAGACACACACACACACACACACACTCACACACATATGCATATACTCACACACACTCATACACACATGCACTCACATACTCTCACACACACTCACATACACTCATACACATACACTCACACATATTCACACACTCTCACACACACACTCACACAAACATATACACATATACACTTTCACACACATACACATACACTCACACACACATATACACACATACAGAGACACTCTCACACACTCACACAACACTCACACACACACACACACACACACACACACACACACACACACACACCAGCCTTCCTTGCTAATACTTACCCACCCCTAGGATCTCCATCTAAAATCCCCAACAGGCTTCATTCCTATAGATCGTCATTATTGAGGGAGCCATCAAGGCTCTTCTACACAGACTTTAGGACCTACGTACTATGTGCATACAAACGCCTGTGCTTCTTAGCGTGTGGACATCTCCAAACACATGTTTCCATCCTCCAATCCTCAAGAATTCATTTTAATTCTCCCCTTCCCAGGAATTCTTGATGGCTTCCCCTGCCAACCTCCACCACCCCATTGTACTGTCTGGCTTTTTTTTTTTAATGGCACTTCTCATTTTGAATTCTACACATATGTAGAATTATACCACGCTGCCTGCACTCTAGCCATCATAGCCATCCATGCCCCCTCCTAAGAACCCTGGACTCTGCCCCAGGGTCCTAGGCTCTGATAGGTGACCTTTTACCTTCTCCTGCCCAGAAACAAGGCTCTGTGGCCACTTTCTGGCTTTCCTCCACCACGTTGCCTCCACTTCCAGCCCCCCTCTATGTACTTTCTTCCCTCATTAAAATAGAAGCTCCTTGAGGGCAGGGGCTGTACAGCTTGTTTGTATCTGCATACCCAGCATTTAGCCCAGAGCACTTAATAAATTCTTACTTTCTGTGTGTCCTCCTCTAAGTCTCTCTGTCTGTCTCCCTGACTCTGTCTCTGTCTGTCTGTCTGTCTGTGTTTTGACAAACCTAGGTCCTTTTAAAGCAGCCATTTCATCTCCCAACTAGGCTGGAAGAATTGTTGGATACGCATGATTCTGTTGAACAGGACCCTTGGTACCTAAGACAGGGGCTTCCTGAGTGTTTGAAGATGATCAGACCACTGGTTATGGTGACAGTCTCCTGGTCTCTCTTGTTCCACGGACAAAATAATGCTATAAGTTCATGCCCTTGGCAAAGGCCACTGTGGGGCATGCAATTCATGAAATCGAGTCTGGGGACTGTGGCGTTAGACACCAGGCATGCTCTGTAAGAGGTGATGGAAGTGGGGGATGGGACCCCGAGGCCCTTCAGCTTGCAAAGGATGAAGCTAGGGCCAAGGTCCCCCAAATGGCAGAGCTGGGATTTGAATCCCCACTCTGCTGGCTCCAGAGCCGAGGCTTTGTTCCCACTTCTTAGGGGAATTCCGAATTGGGCTGTAAGAGGCACCTTACCTGGGGAGGGCACATTGTAGACATTCTCTAAAGGATTTCTAAACCAACCACACGTTGGCAGATTTATATGTTAAAATGTGAACAGGCAAAAAACCCCAAAAGTAATACTAGTCTATGCTAAGTCAATGCCCATTATTCTGCCATAAACCCAAATGGCCCCAGGCGGTTCATTCCAGTGTGCCAAGGAATGCAGCCCCCTGCAGCATGGAATGTGTGAGGGGGGTTTAGCAGACCAAGGCAATCCTAGGAGCACAAAAGAAAAGGAAAGGCCCACCTTCCTCCTCCTCCCGGTGGGGCCGGAGGCACAGGGGCTCAGGGTCGTGGGATCTTGGATTCCCAGGTGGAGGGGACCAGAGAGCCCAGCTAGACAAAAGGGAAGTGACATGCTCAAGGTCACACAGGCAAATCGGGGCAGAAGTATGTCGGGCAACAAGAATTCACAAAGAACGTCCAAAGCCTTCTCCTGCCTCCAGCTCCCACAGATCTCCCTAACCTCACCTGCCAGGGCACTTAGTCTGTCTCTGACTTAGCATTGGAACCTCTATTGGTGTCTTGAAAATCTCTTTCCGTGTGTGTCTTAGTCTCCCTGAAAGATGGTCACAGAGATTGTGTCATGCACCTCTTCTCTGTCCCACAAAGCACCCGCCCTGCAGCTTGGGAAATCCTGGTGGCTTCTTCGCCAAAGGGCTGGGAGGTGTCCTCACCTGCACCTCAGAAGTGACTCAGGAAACAGACGCTCAGAGATTCCCCAAAAACTACCCGTCTCTGGCTGAGACTGGGCCACCCTGATGGCTATGAAATCCCAGGAAATCACCCAGCAGGGCTGTGGGCCTGAGCAGCAAACCTCTTGCCTCCTTGGAAGGAGGTTCCAGGTGCCCATCTCCCCTCCCACAACCACTGACCAGGGCCTCTGCCCACCTGAGGTCTCTTATATGCTTTTCGGCAGGGCAACCTCAGCTTCTGGGCCAGCTCCCGACTGAGCTGAGTGACACTTTCATCCTGAAGGAGGAAAGGAAACGTTAAGCAAGAGGGAGAAAAAAAGGTTGCTTGGTCCCCAACAGTAAAAGAAATGATGAAATCTGGACCCCTTCCCCGCCTCCCCTGGGCCTGCCTCTTTGTCCCCCTCACCTTTACCCTCCACCTGGCCAGTTCTCAGGTTCTTCCCCAAGCCCTCCTGTCTGAAAAGTCTGGAACTGAAGCCAGCTCCTACCAACTTCTGAGAGCTGATCGTTAAATTTTCAGGGTTAGCATTTATACCTCAGAAATGAGGATCACACTACAAATCAGGGTTTGGGTTAGTGTTTTGTTGATTGTCTAGAATTAAGTGATGGAGAAATATTGCAGATTAAATGTAAAAGTGTGTCCTGCTTTTTGGAGAGCCGGTTGTTAAACATTCATCATAATATCCTTGGTTATAAGCCAGGGTGGATGGACTTTGGGGCTTTTTCAGAGGTTAAAAAAATGCCTACCCTCTGCTCCCCCCAGCCCAACCTCCCTGGCTCTGCAATCTAAGTGAGAGATCAGGAATCCCTGTCCAGGCCACAGCTCCTGGGAGCAGTGACCTGGAGTCGACTCTTACCCACTCTGTGAACACTCACTGTTAGAAGGGAAGCTCCTCAGGGGCAAAGACTTTCGTTTTTGTCTTTGCATCGGCAGAGCCTGGCACAGTGCTGGGCCCTTGGGAGGCGCTTAATAAGTGAGTGTTAATTGATCGACTAACTGAGTGATCCAAGGCCGTGACGGTGGGTTGGCTTTAAAATCGACCCAGAGACCTTCACGGCCCCTCCCTGCTCCAGGACTGGTTACAAGTTTTAGCTATTTTAGCTACTGTTATCACTGCCGGAAGAAAGATGGCCCAGAAAGGGAATGTCCAAAGGAAGGTATGGGGAAAAACCCAACCCGCATATCAGGTCATGGTGTGGGGGAAAAAAGATTGGGCTGGGAGTCCGGGGTCCTGGGCTTTGTTCCTCACTGTGCCATTTACACTATGTGGCCTCTAGGCCAGTCCTCTTATCTCTCCAGGCCTCAGTTTCCTTCTCTGTAAAATGAGAGGATTGGAAAGAATGATCTCCAAAGACTTGCCCAGCCCTGACATCCCCTGTTCCAAGGCCCCTCCCAGCCCTGACATCCCCTGTTCCAAGGCCCCTCCCAGCCCTGACATCCCCTGTTCTCAGGCCCCTCCCAGCCCTGACATCCCCTGTTCTCAGGCCCCTCCCAGCCCTGACATCCCCTGTTCCAAGGCCCCTCCCAGCCCTGACATCCCCTGTTCCCAGGCCCCTCCCAGCTCTGACATCCCCTGTTCCACGGCCCCTCCCAGCCCAGAAATCCCCTGTTCCAAGGCCCCTCCCAGCCCTGACATCCCCTGTTCTAAGGCCCCTCCTAGGTTTAAGTTGGTGACTAATGTATTCCAAAGCCATCCCAGAGAATCTCCTTCCTTCTGTTAATTAACCAACAAATATTTACTGAGAGACAACTGTGGCTTTGGTGATGAAGCAAAAGAGATTGTTGCCTTCAGCGAGGTTTGAGGTTAGAAAAGCAACACACATGCACCAGTGAGCACCTTCTAATCCTTCTGCCCTGACCAGACTATGGTTAATAAGACCATTAACGCAGCATTAAGCAGGTGGCCCTGCTGTGAATGGGCCAAGACCTCCACAAGCTTAGATTCTCTCTGCTCAAGTGAGATAACGTTTGTGATGTGGCTGTGCAGTCATGTCTGCCATCTCCTTCTCCAGCTTATTTTACAGAGGAGGAAACTGAGGCAAACAGGGATAAATAAGTGACTTGCCCAGGGTCACACAGCTACTATCTGAAGCTGGATTTGAACTCAGGATGACTTATCTTCCAGACCATGGCACCCAATAGCTGCTCTGTAACATTTATAAAACACTTTGCAAATCTTAAAGCACTACACAAACGTTAATTCTCATTACTATTGTGGTTATTTCTCCATCTGTAAAATGGAGACAATAGTGAAGCTGCTCCTACCAGCCTTAAAGAAAGGGTGGTCTGAGGGACAAAGAGATAGCAGATCACTGAGGATATATAGACGGAAGGTAAGATGTACACAAAATATTTAAGTAGCAATGCAAATAACACTGTATTGTGTTTGCAGCCAGCAGGAAAAAGAAAAGGGCAAGAGAAGGAAAACAACTATTGTCTGAAGGAGACAGGTTGACATTAGAAACAATGGAGAGAAGGTAGAATTATCCAGTTCCCATTTGGCTTACAATTCTGCCCAGGAGAATTAACTCCAGATTGGAAAGGGTGGCACCAATACAGTTAAGAGGAAACTGAAGATGCTTTAGGAGAGAGAAAGAAAGCTCCATTTGATGTTGGAGTTCTCAACCTGGGGCCCAAGAACTAAGGGTTTTGGTTTTGTTTTGTTTTTGAGACAATTGGGGGTAAGTGACTTGCCCAGGGACACACAGCTAGTATCAGAGGCAGGATCTGAGCTCACAGTCAGTACTTTATTCACTGAGCCGTCTAGCTGCCCCCCACTTTTTGCTTTTTAAATGGCTTTCTCATTCATTTTCTCATTTTATCCCCATACGTGCCTCAAATGGGAAAACTAAAGCTAAAGAAGAAAACTGACTAGCCCAGAGTCACACAGCCACCAAGTGGCAGAGTCGGGATTGGAATCTAGGTTTCTTGACTTCTAAACCAATGCTCCTTCCACTGTGGGAACAGGGCGTAACCCCAGCCCAGGGCCAGGCACATAACAACTGCTTAATAAGCCCTGGGTGAATGGATGAGCTAATAAATGAACGGCTGGGTGAACCAATGAATTTGGAGGTCACAATCTGGAGGGACCAGTGGGCAGAACATCTATCAGGGTGGTCCACTTCCTATATTAACCCAGCTGCTGGCTCCCTTCTGTTTTCCCTTTCCTATAGTCACTCTGCCCCAAGTCCAGTGAAGGTTGGACCAGGCAGGACAGGAAGGACAAGCGGACCCATGAGTGGGGGATCTGGAGCTGGAAAGGACCTCTGAAGTCATCTACTCTGACCATCCCACTTTACAGATGAAGAAACTGAGACCCGAGTGGTTAAATGATGTGTCCAAAGTCACACGGGCAGGAGGCATCAGAGCCGGGATCTGAACCCAGGTCCTCTCATTCCAAAGCCTGCTCCTCCCACTGTGCTCTGGGGAATCCAAAAGCAAAATAAAACATGCCCAACACATGACCACTGTGGAAGAACCGCCTTCATTGGAAGCTACAAGAGATGAGCTGCCGTGTGCTGCCCTGGCCTGCCTTGGCCTGCCTCACCCTCTCAGTTTCTCTGCCTGGATTATACTTGGGTGCCCCACTGCACCACACCGTTCTCTGCCAAGGTGGCCTCCCGCCCCCCTGCCCCCATTTGTCCTGCCCATCAGGCCATCTGGCCCTAACACACTCACGTGGGGAAGAGAGATGGAGCACGTTTTACTGCACTCGTAGGCTTCCTTATGGCGCCCCAGCTCATTCAAGGAACTAGCTTTCCGGAACAAAGCTCGGATGTTCTCTGGGTCCAGTCCCAGGGCCTTCTCACTGTCTTCCAGTGCCTTCTCATACAGGCCCTGAGAGCAAGAAGGGAACACCTGCTCCCACCCACACCTCCCTCCCCAGACCAGGCCACAGCCCCTGCTCCCACCCACACCTCTCTGGGCTGAAAGAACCCATCCCCAGAGCTCGAAGGCCAGGGGTCCCCTAGCCAGGACATAGAGGGGTGGGTTGGAGGGAGGTTAAAGGTTCCAGTAGAAGAGAGGTTGGAGCTTGGGGAGCTTTGGAAGGAGGGCTGGGGGAGGAGCTGGAAGCTTGGAATGGAGAGCTTGGGAAATATAGTAGGACCAGCACAGAGAGAGAAAAGCCAGGCTAGCTCTTGTCAACACTGGGGGGCCTCCACTGGATGTGTTGGTGTATAAGTCATTGGGTCACCCTCATGGGGGGTGAGGGCAGGGAGCCAGAACACACAAAATACCCAGAAATACTGAGTTGTCCTGCCTTCCGTCCCACATCCCACCTGCACCTATACCTCCGGTAGCCAAAACAATCATAGCGATGTCTATTTCTACAGGGCTCCTCTCTTCAGATAGGAAAAGACTGTCCCTAGTCCTCAGTGCTTACCCCAGAGCCTGTCATACCATGGGTGCTTAATAAGCATTTATTGACTGACCACTCATTGAAGCCTTACAAAGCTCCTTCCTTCCCACAGCCTTGACAAGCAGATAATAAAAGATCAGCCCCTTTGAAGGAAGAAGCTGTTTCCAGAGAAGTTGTGCCTGCCACAGTGTGGTGAGGATCAGAGCAAAGTCTCAAGCCCAGGACTGCTGACACTGAGGTTAGCGCTCTGGCCACTCCCCTCCACTGCCTCCTTGCACCAAGTGGCGATGTCAGGGGCCGCACAAAAATGCCTGAACGTCCTTCAATCGTGAAGGGGAAAGAGTGCTGTCCCTGACCTCCAGAGAAGTGGATTCAAATCCAGCCTCTGCCAAGCTGGAAGGAACGTTAGAGGTCAGTCAATTCAAACCTTCCTTTTACAGATAGGAATTGAGGCTCAGAGGGGTTAGGTGACTTAGCCATGATCACATGTGCACCCTATGTGACTTTGAGCAGATCATTTCACCTCAATCTGCTTCAGTTTCCTCCCCTGTAAAGATAGGGCTGTACTACCTGGGCTCTAAGGGCCCAGCCAGCTCGAAATCTATGATTCTAGATTCCCAGCTGTGTGACCCTGTGCAAGTCACTTCACCTCTCTGAGACTCAGTTTTGTCATCTGCAAAATGGAGGTGATAATCTTCATAGTCCATACACCACAAGGTTTTGGAGAGGGTTTTGACCACCTTAAGATGCTTTAGAAAAGTGCCATTCTCATTTCATTTTCCTCCTCTTTTCCAATGGAGTCCAGATAGAAACAGCCCTGGGATGTCACTATCCTGCCATTTCGTTTTCTAGTTAATGTTATGTGGATAAAAATTTGTTGTGGCTCAGTGGTGTCCAACTCTTCGTGATCCCACCGGGGGTTTTCTTGGTAAAGACACTGAAGTGGTTTGCATGTCCTTCTCCAGCTCATCTTACAGGTGAGGAAACTGAGGCAAACAGGGTTAAGGCCTGGGTGAAGATGAGTCTTCCTGATTCAAAGCCCAGTGCTGCCTCCAGTGCGCCACCTAGCCTCCCTTGGGTAAGACTAACTGGACGGAGGTGGGACGTTTCAGCGGATTGAAAAGATTAGCGTGTGAGCTCATCATGCCCAGGTTCCCTGGGAGCATCTTTGGGATAGCTCTGGGAACACAGAGAACGGCAGGGTCGACACGGGCCTATTCCTGTATGTTTTTGTCTCCTCTGCCTGGTCTATCCGTCGGAAAAGCTTCTTGTTGCACATAGTTGGGGAGTACAGGCATCTGCATGAAGATAATGATAAAAAAAAAGAACATCCCCCTCTGCTTTGTGTGGCTCGACGTCATGCCCGGAGGTTGTGGACAGCAGTTTTCTCCATGGTGTGTGTCTGATCATGGGGCCTTGATTGGCCGAGATTGTGAGCTTAATACTATTATTATATTATCTCTATTGAAACATTCATTTTTGAGAACTTCCTGTGAAAGAGAGACTCAACTGGAAAGGTTGGGTTATTAGGGAAATTATTGGGGAAGTTCCCAAATCCTGGCGGACACAAGTTCTGATTCTGGGCTGACAGCGTCTAGAACAGGAATGAAGACATGAATGAATGAATGATTGAATGATTGAATGAATGAATGGATGGATGGATGGGTCCCATCCCCAAGTGGCCGAGGGCAGCTTCCCATCAGCGAATTCATCTGAGCCTCTGATGGCCCCATCAGAAACTGTCTCTGTTCTCCTCAGCAAGGTACCAGTGGGCCCACCCCACACTCTATAAAGAGAGAGAGAGAGAGAGATGGGAAATCCAGGGTATGGACAAAGGCTTATTGTCCGGTAGGCTCATCAAATTGGTGGGAGGGCTTGGAGTGAGGACTCTTCTGATCCCCTCCCCTCCTTCCAAAAAATGTTGTGGGTTTGGAGGGAGGGGCTGGAAGAGTTAGGAAGCTGTAGGGACAGAAGGGGATTAGATGTGGCAGGCAATAGAGGCAAAAGGAAATTGGAGGCTGAAGGAGCGGAAGGAGGTTTGAGGCAGCTGGAGGATATGGAGGCAAAAGATTAGAGTTGGAGGCTGGAGGTGGGAGCTGTGCATGGAGGCTGGGAGGAGGCCGATGGCCTGCAGGGGACAGCTGGGGTCCTCACCATGTTGAAATAGCAGGCGGCCCGGTTGACGTGCAGCTTACAGAGGAGTTCTCGGGGCAGCGTCACCTCGTCCGAGGCAGCATAGTCAGCCACGTTCAGCCCCTCCACATACTGCACCAATGCCTGCTTGAAATCCTTCTCCCGGAACAGATCATTCCCCTCAGCAAACAGGTTCCAAACCAACTTGTGGAGAAAGGCCTGGGCTCCCACAGAGAGGCAAGAGAGAGAGATGTCCAGGTGTGGGGAGTATAGGCAGGAAGCTCCACCGCCCTCCAGTATCCAGCCCCTGGGAGCCAATCTGCTCCCCCATCCCCAGGACCAATCCTCGCCCTACCCACTCAGCCTTCCTGGAGGGGAGCCCCCGTGGCCTCCACCAGGGAGGGGAGCCGTTCCCGCCCCAGGGCCCCCTGCCCTCCTCGAGATGGAGCCTGGGGGACTGGGGGAGAGGCTGACTATTCTGCACCCCTCTTCAGGGTCACCCCTTTTCCAAGGGGAGTTCACCTACCTCATAATCTTCTTGCTTTAGTGATATCGTGGACCTGAGGGCATAAGGAAACATGTGCCAGGTAAGACCTCGGCCCAAGCATCCAGCCTGGGGCAGGTGAGGAGATGAGATCCCTCTAGGTGGGATTCCAAGTAGCCCTCTAGGCTCAGTCCCTCCGATCCTTCGACATTGTTACTGCTGTCAACAGCCAACATTCATTACCTAGTTACCAACTAAGTGGCACGTTGGCCAGAGCTGGAGTCAGGAAGACCTGAGTTCAAATCCAACCTCTGACACTTACTAGTGACCCTGGATAAGTCACTTAACATCTGTCTTCCTCTGTTTTCCTCATCTTTTAAATCAGGACAATAATTGCACCTACCTCCCAGGATTATGGTAAGAATCAAATGAAATAATATTTATAAAGCTCTTTGTAAACCTTAACATACTAAATAAATGGTAGTAGCAGTAGCAGTCACAATAGTAGGAGTAGTAGCAGGAACAGCAGCAGGAGCAGTAGTAGTAGTAGTAATAGCAGCAGCAGTATAGTAGTAGCATTAATAGTAGTAATAGTAGTAGTAGCAGCAGCAGTAGTAGTAGCAATAGTAGTAATAGTAGTAGTAGCAGTAATAGTAGTAGTAGCAGTAGTAGTATAGTAGTAGCATTAATAGTAGTAATAGTAGCAGCAGCAGTAGTAGCAGTAGTAGTAGTAATAGCAGCAGCAGCAGCAGCAGCAGTAGTAGCAGTAGTAGTAGTAATAGCAGCAGCAGCAGCAGCAGCAGTAGTAGCAGTAGTAGTAGTAATAGCAGCAGCAGCAGCAGCAGCAGCAGTAGTAATATTAATATGTGGCATTTTGGGCAGGATACTTCATAGCTAGGTTTTTCCCAGAGGTGGACAACAAGTGGGACAAACCAGGCGATTATGCTTTTTCTATAAAAATAGAATTCCTTACATTGAATGACAGCACACATTCTGACAAACCTTGGACATGTCAATTAAAGCAGGAGGGTGGCTTTCGAGTCACTGGACACCCCTCTCTCGCCTCAGCTGAAATCCATCCCCCTTTCTTCAAGGCCCAACTCAGGCGTTATCTCTGAAACTGTCCCTGAGACTCTCCCCCACCAACAATGATCAGAGGACCTGTTCTTTGCAGAGATCCCCCTCTGCTTTTTATCTTCACTCTTTGTGTCTTGTTCTCCCCTTTTCGAACGTAAGTGTCCCAAGGGTAAGGCCAGGGGTCATATCTCTCTATTCCCACACACAGTCAGTGATTAATAAACGTATTTTGACTATATGAATGGATGGATGGTGGGTAGATGGTGGATGGGTGGATGACATTCGTCACCCTTTCTCATTGGGCCAACAGAATGGCTTTGTCCTTTCATTGGTATTTGAGGCTCTTCTCTCCTGTGGCTACAAAATGCCAACTCAGCTCCGTGGATGTCACCAACCCAGGGTGCTTGGGCTCCTAGAATTTGGCAGCTGAGATGACCCTTAAAAGAGCATTTCCCCAATAGCCCCACTCCCATCTTGCTGTTGTTGAGACATTTCAGTCGTGTCTGACTCTTCATCAACTCGTTTGGATTTTTCTTGGCAAAGGTACTGGAGTGGTTTGCCATATCTTTCTCCAGCTCATTTTACAGATGAGGAAACTAAGGCAAACGGAGGTTAAGTGACTTGCCCAGGGTCACACAGCTAGGAAGTGTCTGAGGCTAGATTTGAACTCAGGAAAAAGAGTTTTCCTGACTCCGGGCCTGTACAAGGCCACACTGGTAGGAGTAGGGAACGTCAAATTCCTGCTCCTGACATTCAAGGCCACCATCTGCCTCCAACTCAATAATAATGAGAGTTACATAGAATTCTAAGGTTTACAAAAACTTTTGTATTTGATCTCCACCATAACTCTATAAAATGAGTCCTACAGGTACTATATCCCCATTTTAGAGAGAAAAAAAGAGCTCCACAGAACTGAAATGACTTGTCCAGGGTCACCCAGCTTAGTCAGGCGGTATCTGATAGAGTCAGGAAGACCTCCGTTCAAATTCTGTTGTGGTCACTTGCTTAGCTGAGTGACCCTGGGCAAGTCATAAAATCTCTCAGCCTCCATTTCCTCATCTGTAACATGGGAATAGCAATATTGCCTCCCTTGCAGGGTTATCGTAAGGATCCAAATAGAGAACATTTGTGAAATGCTTTGTAACTTCAAAAGCAGGATCAGAGGCAGGGACTAACCTATGTCTCCCCTGACTCCCCTGTCTCACTGCCCTCCCACCACATTTCCTCCTATGCCCCAACATGAAACTTCCACTCTAGGGTCAAGAAATCATAACATCTTAGACCCAGAGCTGGAAGGGGCCTCAGAGCCCTGAGACCAACCCCCAGAGAGGGGAAAGGCCTTGCCCCAGTCTACTCAGGCCATGACTGAGGCAGGACTTGAACCCAGGCCTCTGACTACAAATCTGGTGCTCTTACTCAGTGCCACGCTGTCTCTGAGATCTGGCCAGACCAGACTCCTCGCTGCTTTAATCATTCATTTGGGGTGAACTTGACAAATGTTTCATTTGGATGAATGCAATCCAATCATCTGAGTCAACAAACACTTACTAAGCAAGCAGTGGGTGCGCCAACACCTGGCACAAGTCTCATTGGCTCTGGGAAGCCTTCCTGAGACCAGTCTACTCCACGGGGATCTCATTCCCACCTGGAGCTTCTCAGATCACGACCTCATTGTGTTCAGACTGAGGATGAACTTCAGAGACTTCATAGGCGAACCCTCTCACTTTACAGAAAAGGAAACTGAGGCTAGAGAGGGCAGGCCCTGGGTGCGGGGTCACACAGCTGACCAGGAGTTTCCCCCTCCAAACCCAGGGCCCCTTCCATTGTATCCTAGCACCCTGATGCCACATCTTGTTAATACACTCTCATGCTTGTGACTCCGTCTGTGCCCTGCTGGATCATAAGCCTGCTGAAGGTTGGGGTGACAGCTCACCTCTCTCTATAGCTCCCTCAGCTCAGAGCCACGCACAGCAGAGTCATTTAAATATTTGCAAAGAGATTGCACGAGAAACGGGTCTATGCCAGGCCAATGAAGCAGCTAGACCACTTGTTGAACAAATAAGCCTGCTCATCTGCAGGCTTGGTTGTCACTGTTCAGGCCACCCTGTCACAGGTCACCCTGGCGAGGTCGGGGAAGACTCATTCCCATGCTACCATCTTCATCACTCAAAACTCTGTGAGCTTGGACAAGTCACACACACACACACACACACACACCCCTCTCTGAGCCTCAGCTTTCTCATCTATAAAAGGAGTAAGCTGGACTAGGGTGACTTCTGAGCTCCCTCCCAGATGCGACATTCCTGGTTCTGATGTTTTCACATTTTTTTTTTCAATTAACAAGCATTTCCCTATTCTCCCTCTCCACCCCCCTCCCCAGTGAAAAGTAGGAAAAGAAAAATGAAACAAAGATGTATTGTCAAGCAAACCAAGTTTCCACACCTGTCATGTCCAAAACTGTGGGTCTGACCTGTCCTAAGGCCCCTCCCAGCTCTGACGTCCCCAGTTCTAAGGCCCCTCCCAGCTCTGACGTCCCCAGTTCTAAGGCCCCTCCAGCTCTACCTTCTCTACTCTAAGGCCCCTCCCAGCTCTGAGGTCCCCAGTTCTAAGGCCCCTCCAGCTCTACCTTCTCTACTCTAAGGCCCCTCCCAGCTCTGACGTCCCCAGTTCTAAGGCCCCTCCAGCTCCACCTTCTCTATTCTAAGGCCCTTCCCAGCCCTGACATCTCTTGTTCTAACAAAGGTCCCACTCCTGGTTCTGCTTTCTATGACTCTAAAAAAGTCTAAGAGTCAACCCTCATTTGGACATCTGCATTCTGCTGGTTTTTTTTAACCACATGACTTCATTAACTTTTTCATGTGCCTCTTGTTACATGAATGTACAAAATGACGCATGTAGGGAAAGTTTGCTTGGGTAGGCTCTGGTCAGCCTCAGTGTGGCCAAAACTGCTTTACCCTGACTTCCTGAAAGCTGAAAGGGACCTTGGAGGTCCTTGAAAGGTCTTCTGAGTCCAATCCTCTCATTTTACAGATACAGAAACTGAGGCACAGAGAGATTAAGTGACTAATAGACACCAAGCAGCTACCAAGAGCTGGGTACCTTAAATAAGCTGCCCTGCTCTCGGGGAGCTTCCAAAGAGAGTTCACTCTAAATGTGCATCTTAAGTAAGCTAATACTATCCTGCCCTCAGGGAACTTCCAATCCACCAGAGGGATTTCACAAACACAGATTTCTTTAATAGATAATGCATTTGAGAGAGACAGCGCCTCAAGTGGACAGAGCGGGCTTCAGAGTCAAGAAGACCCAGGTTCAAGTCCCACGTCCTGTGTGTGTGACCTTGGACAAGATATTCGACAGCTCGGTGCCTCAGGCAGCACTCTGAGACTAGAAGCTGCAGAACAAGCAGGTGCCCATCTGCATTAGCAGACTTCCTCATGTGGGCTCCCTGTTCCAACAAAATAATTGGTCCACTCGAAAAACAAATAAGCAAATAAAACCCGAACCAAAAGTTAACCCTCGGAGTAACTGCACAAGGCAACCCCCCCAGCCCTCAACTGTTGAGCAGGCTTACGTTTGACTTAGTCTCTAAAAGCATGGCAAGGGACTCCACAAATGCCCAAAGAAAAGCCATTTGGAGGCATCCCTGCCCAGGGCAGGCTGGAGGTCGAGGGTGTTGTTGGGTAATTCTCCATAACCAGAGAGTTTATGCCACCATCTCAGGTGGATTCTACCCTAACCCCTCCCTGTGGAATGAAGCCTCTCTGCTTGGTGACAACAGCAAGTGTGACCAGCCACAAAATGGTGGCTGGGCCAAGGAAAGGACCAACACATCACTTAGAAAATCAGGACTATGTCTGAGGGGGAGGTGTTCACCTCCTGGGGAATGGGAGAGGTGGGAGGGAGGGAGGAGCAGAAAATGCAGCTTCTCCCCTGCCTTGGCCGCCCAGGGAGCCCACCATATTGTCGTTTCACCTTAACACTTCCAGGCACGATCTATCGAGGCTGTGGGGCAGTGGACAGTGGGAAAGATGTGGAGTTCAAAAAGACCTGGGTTCAAGTCCTGCCTTGGACACATACTGGCTGTGGGACTCTGGGCAGGGGAACCTTTCAGTGCCCCCAGACAACTCTTTAAGATCCTGAGGTACAGAGAAGCTGTCAATCTGCTTCAGGGGAGAGATGTTTCATTCTGGAAGTTACCTACCCTGGTGAAATCTAGACAAAAAAAAAATTAAAGCCATAACGCAGGCTGGAATGTCTGTAAATTGTGTAAGAAAACAATGTTTGTGTTATGCACATGAGGAGGGAAAGTATATGTGAGTGTAGGTATACACACACACACACACACCACTGTCCCAGTCAGTGAAGGGGCTACCAACAACCCAAATTTCCCAACCCCAAAGTCAAAAAAAAAACAACCCACCAAAACCAAAACAAAAAAAAAACTTACTGGATGAATTGAAGTCCTTTCTCTATTTCTTCTTTTCTTTTCTGCCTCTCCATTAGTCTCTGAGGAGGAAAGAAAAGGTCATTCTGGATGTTCCTTGGCTTCCCCAGCAGACCCCACCCCCCCCCCAGCTCCAGGGACTTTGTGACCAGGGGCTGGGGCTGCTCAGAAAAGGGCCCCTGCCCTTAGCCCTCCCGGATCAGAGCATCCAGAGCTGTGATAGCCCTCAGGTCTGATTCTTAGCAGGAGAGCACAATCTTCCAGAAAGAGTATCTGAATTCACCAACCACATTTGGCCAGCCTGCCTCCTTTCTACACCTCTGGCCTCAGGTACTCAGGGAACTCAGTGGAAGACATCAACACTTTTTGTTTACTAATGATGTGGCTGGATTTCAAAGTGTCATAGAATCTCAAGAATCAGAAGTCAAGAGTCAGAAGGCGGTCAGGGATAGTGGAAAAGGAATAGGATTAGAAATCAAAGGACCTGGATTCAAATCCCCCAGCTTTGCACTTGATCCTTGCGTGACCTTGGGCACACAAGGATCACGTAGCTTGACCTTTCCACACCTCAGTTTCCTCATCTGTAAAATAGGGGAATTGAACTTGATCTCTGAGATTCCTTCTGACTCTGAATCTATGAGCCTATGAAGGCACTTCAGAAATGGACTAGTCTACCTCATCATGCCCAAAAAGGAATCTCCCTACAGTGTCCCCAGGCAATGGTCAAGGCCCTTGGCCATCCCCCTTGAAGACTTCCAGTGGTGGGAAACATCCACTCCCCTTCTGACCAGCTCTTACTTTAGGAAGTACTATTTCCTTATGTTGAGACAACACCTGCCTCCCTGTAGCTTCTAATCTGTCACTCGTGCCTCCCCTCTCTCACCCCTACCTTCCAACAAGCCCAATTCACCTTCCGCAATTGAGGGAGTGGCCATCAATTAGAGAATGGCTGACCAAGTTATGGCATATGCATGTGATAAAATGCTACTGTGCTGTAAGAATTGATAAAGGGGATGGTTTCAGAGAAACCTGGGAAGATTTGTCCGAACTGATGCAGAGTGAGGTGAGCAGAACCAGGAGAACAACATATACAATAGCAACATCATAAGGCCCAACCACTAAAAGACTCTAAGCGATGCAGAGGACAGATGAAGAAGCAAACGACCCACCTCCTGATTGGAGTGAAGGGGTGGCGGAGTGGGCTCAAGGCGCAGAATAAGCCCTTCCTTAGTGGACTTAACCAATGTGGGAACTTGCTTTGTTTTATCATGTATGTTTGTCATGAGGGGCTGATTTTTCTTTTCTTTCTCGAGGAGGGGAGAACTGGGGGAATTTAGAGGGCTAGGGGTGGGAGTGCCAAGAAAGAAGAAAGAAAAGAATGTCATGAAAGCATTTTCAATGCACAAAAGAGAAGTGAAGTCAGGCCCAAAGGAAGCATCGACAGTCAGGATAGCTTTGAAAGTTTCACGTTGAATTTTTTTAAACTTTTTTTTTTAAAGTGAGCTGTACATCATAGAGACTTGCAGCTTCGTGTATAATCCTCTTCATCTGTTCTACTGTGTATATGGAAATGTTTTAGCTGGTCTTTGTTCATGTCAGAATTTTTTAAAAAATTCTTCCAACATATGAAACCCACTATCCTGCCACTGCTCTCCCAAAGGCTTTTCTTTTTCCTCCAGGATAAATGTCCATAGTTCCTTTAACCCATCTTCATACATCATGGCTTCCAGGCCACTCACCACCTTGTCATGATGCTTGGGACAGGACTCAGTCTGCCAACATCCCTCCTAAAATGTGGCACCAAGTACTGAACTCACCTGAGGTCACTGGATAAATCATAGTTAAGAAAACTCCTAAAGGGGATGATCTAGGAACCAGCCCTTCCACACCCTGGAATCCCCCAAATAAACCCATCCCTAGGACCACAGACTTTGGAGATGAAAAGGCTCTAAGAAAACATCTAAGTCACAAAAACGGTCACAGACCTGGAGCCTGAAGGAACCTCAGCCTCAGTTTACAAATGAGCCACAGTGGCCCAGAGATGTTCATTGGTCACAGATAATAAGTGGCAAAGCCAGAATTTGAACCCAGGATCTTGGATTACAAATCCAGGGCTGTATCATGTTGTCCTCCTTTAGCAATGAGGAAACTGAGGCCAAGAGAGGAGTAGGGACATGATCAGGGACATACTGATCCTAAGTAGCAGAATTGGGAAGTGAATCCCAGCCTGCTAATTGCATATCTAGCGTCCTTTCAATTCACACCAAGTCACTCAATTCCCACCATGCCTTCTGAGGTGTGGTGAGCAGACACCACCCTCCCTCCATAAAGAAAGAATTATCATTTGATTTTAAATTGACCACGGGATATGAAAGCAGGATCTTAGAAATGGTACGATCCAATCACCTCATTTTACAGATGATAAAACCGAGGCCCACAGAGTGAGCTGCCCGAGATCACACAGCTAATAAGTAACAAAGATAGGATTCAGACCGAGGTCCTCAGATTCCAGACCCATCAGTCTTTCCACCAAATCACATTTCCTAAGAACGCAGAAATCCTCAGGAAGATCACGGAGAACATCAGAGCAATTCACAGAGTAGAAGAACATAAGGGTCTATGCAGAAGAGCTTTGAACTGTGCAAAGAACATTCTTTCTCCAAATGTTACATAGTTAAACCCCAATTCCACATACCAGTAGCAAGCACACAGAATCAGCTAGTAACAGAAACCATTTCTCAAGGACAGGTTTTGCATTTCTCCCCTTGCCAACTTCCATTCTCAGCCCAGGGCCAGGCTAGCCCTAAGGGGGAGGAGGCTCCACGGATAAACCCTGAGGTGATATCTAAATGATGCCAATAATGTCAAGAAGATGGGGGAAGTGGCATCCACGAGGTCAGAGGAAAAGCCGAGCATGTATCTGTTAGGTGATTCAGAGTTTCCGAAGTTGTTTCCTCATATGTCATTATGACCTTTTTGCCGATCAGAGTTTCTTAGATCCAGAGCTGGAAGGGACATGAGCCCAACCCCCTCATTTTATTATTTTAAATAATGTTTCTCGGTGCTATTCTTTTCAAAGAATATTGCTTTCCATTTTCAGTCATTTCCCAGTGACTCTTCCCACACCCCCTAGACCAGTCCCTTGTATCAAAGAAACATAATTAAGCAAAACAAATCAATGCATTGGCCACAACTGGCAAGGTGTGCCTCATTCGGCACCCACAGTTCACCACCTCTCTATGGAGAGAAAGGAATCAGGCTTCTCCATCAGTTCTCTGAAGGCAGGGCTGATCAGCACATCAATGTCATTTTCCTTTACATTAGGTCTCCTTGCTTCACTCTGCATCCTGTACCGAGCAAGCCTTCCCAAATTTCTCCAAATTCATCTTCACTTCTTTTTACGGTGCAATAATGATCCATCCTTGTAACAGACCACCATCTCTTCAGCCATTCCCTAGTCAATGGGCACCTGCCTCCCTTACAATTTGTGGCTATCACAAAAAGGAGTGCTTGAACCGTTTGGCATGCTTGTGCCCTTTCCCTCTGTCTTTGGCGTCCTACAGGTATACAAGGTATATTGAATTTCCTCATCTGTAAAATAGGGACAATAATAGCACCTACCTCCCATTTGTTAAGATAATCAAATGTGATCATAATTTTAAAGCACTCAGCATAGTGCCTGGAACATAGTAGGTGCTATATAAATGTTAGCTACTACTGTTTATTATTATTATTATTGTTGTTGTTGTTATTATTATATGCCTATCAGTGGCACTCTTGCAACCCCCACTTTTGCAGATAAGGAAACTGAAACTGAGGGGTTAAGTGACCGGCCCAAGGTTATACAGTTATTTAAGAGGCAGAGGAAAGATTTCCTGCTCTCCACACAGAAAAAAGGGGAGGCAGATTGTGGCCCAGTAAATGGGAAGAATTCTTAGCAATTAGTCATTCCACCAATAGAATGAGGGGCTTGGTGAGACATGAATTAATAAAAGGGAAAGCACCTACTATGTGCAAAACAGCATACAACATACTAGAGATACAAAAAAGAAAAACAAGCCAGGCCTTGCCCTCGGGGGGGGGGGGGGGGCTGGAGGGTGGGGAGGGGCTCCCATTCTAATGTGAAGACAACATATTCCTGGTCTCAATTTCTGATCTAACAGGGGAAGGAACAGCTCGGGAGAGCAGGTGATGTCTATACAGCAAGTCTTCTCAGAAGGGTCTCGCCTCACTGAGGGTCTGGAAGCAGGGCCTGGATGATCAGTGATCATGCTAGAGACACATATTCTGGTCCAGGTACAGGCTGGACAAAACAGTTCTGAAGTCTTTGCTAGCTCTGGGATTCTGTTAAAACTACTTCCCCTCTTGAGGCCTCAGTTTTCCCATCTGTAAAGTCTGGGATGGGGCAGCTAAGGGGCACAGTGGACAGAGTGCTGGGCCTGGAGCCAGGAAGACTCATCTTCCTGAGTTCAAATCCAGCCTTAGACACTCACTAGCTGTGTGACCCTGGACATGTCACTTCACCCTGTTTGCCTCAGTTTCCTCATCTGTAAAATGAGCTGGAGAAGGAGAAGGCAAACCACTCCAGCATCTTTGCCAAGAAAACCCCAAAAGGGGTCACAGAGTCCAACACAATTGAAACAACTGAACAACAGAAAGTTTGGGATAATAGTCCCTACCTTGCTTCCTTCAGAGGGCTGTTCTGCAATTCAAATGAGAAAATGGTTCACAGTCATAAAGTGAGATATTACTGTGGGTTATTGTTGTTACGTGTCTTATCTCACCAGCTAGATTATAAGCTCTTAGAGCTCAGAGTCCAGGGCTCCTATCTCTCTATCTCCTCCTTGCCTAAAACAAGACCTTGAACATAGTAGGGATTTTGTCAACGTTTGCTGATTTGATCTGCTGCAACTGGTGATTAGAGAACAGAAAGTAAATATACAACTTTTGTGGTTGTGAAAGGGGAAGAAGAGACTGGGTGGGTACATTTGGAAGGAGGGCTGTTGAAAGCTGAAAGAGTCAAGATACGGCAATGAGACAATTGTTTTCATCTACAGCAAAT